TTTTTTTTTTTTTTTTTTTTGAACGATTGGATAGAATGTGAGATGAAAAAATAAGAAATTTCAGTAAGAAAAACAAAAAACAAACAAAAACAATGGAAACATATATCCGACCTAGAACCTAAAGCTTTGATACCAAATGTTACGAAACTCTTGGAATTTGTTATGGAAGAACAAGACCCTTCGATCTAAATTATTCAAGAACCTCAAAAATGATAAAGAATCAAACCAATGGAAAGTTTTGGAATGAATTGCTTTGATGATCAAGATTAAAGGATACTCATTTCTAGACTCATGATTCAAATTACTCCACATGATAGTTTGATCAAGACTACTTGAATGACTCTAATATGCAAATTTAAACCTTATAGTAACCTATGGTCAATTAAAAGGTTGTAACTCGTATGCCCATCAATACCACAAACTAAGTGTAACTTTAAAACCTTAAAAATAATACTCTAAAATTGAAAAATACAAGGAAACCTCCCTAAATCCAAGTACGTAAGGTACAATCTTGTCCTCCACCATGAATTCTTTGTGGAATGATTAAGACACCTTATTTCATATCATATAAGGAATTGAACTCAGAGAAAGAGAAAGAGAAAGTGTTGTATCCAATACACATCACATAACGTTTCTAGACTGAGCTTTGACGAAACACGAGAAGCAATATAGGAGAATTAACTAACCTTTAAAGATCGCCAATCAGAATTAGCCCACCCAGGTGATGCATTATCTCCAAGACCAACAATTGTTCCGCTAAAACTGTCGAAGAATATAACAAAAATTAATATATCAACCAATCAATGAAGGATAAAAGAGCTGGGGAGATTGACACGGTTACCTTCTTTCAGGTACTTCCTCGCCCTCAAACCTCATCTTGAACCTCATCCCAACAGAGAGTTTATGGCTTTGAGCTTCAAGGTACTTGTTTAGACTTACAAGAAATGTAGACCTGCTTGTTCTGTCATAAGGAAGGATATTCAGGAATCGGGAATTCGCTAGTTGCACGAGATAAATCAAAAAGGCAATGGCAAAAGCGAACAGCTGACTTGGAGTAAGATACAAAAGCTAGCAAAAGAAAGCAACGTAGGGATGACAAACCTTGGCTTGTAAAAGACAGAAAAGAGCGTTCCAGTTGCAACAGCATGAGAAGCAGTGGCTAAAACTCCAAGATGCATACTGTGACTTGATATAACAGAAGATGGCATGTTGTTTAGCTGTCTCATGAGTCTTCTCACCCCAACACGAAGCTCTCCGTTTTCACCTCTGTGAAGTAACGCACATAACAAAAGAGATCATGTACTCGTTCCGTCAAGATTCATCTAAATCCCACTAAGAAATAGACATTCTTCTTAAATGGAAAGCCACAAAATTACCTTAAAAAGATAAAAGCATCTCCAGCTACTAGCTTTTTAGAACTAACGAAGACACTCCACCCAGTTGTTAGTAAATGACGCCTTGGCTGACCTGCAATTTCATGTATCAATATCAAAATCATGTGCGTGACTGGGGGAACTCTTCTTGTCCAATGAAAAAATGAGTGGCTTTGTGCACATATGATTGTACATATGTATTTGTGTAAATTCGTGTGCGAGAAATCTTTATTAGCCAGGACAGCAAATATCTATAGCTTTTCACATGTCTATTACTTGTTCAACTTTATAAACCATACCTCGGAAAATGTGCCTAAAATGCCACTGATTCCCATGTAAATCAGTTGCTACCAATTCTTGCCATGGTGGCTGCTGAGACATATCCTGTAAAACGAAAGGACTTTATAACACGGAAGAGAAATAGAAAATGGATGTTGGCTTGCAATATCATTTCTATTATCTAACCAGAGGTGGCAGACAGTCATCAGCATGCCTCCTAAGAACAGAGAAGCCACCATGAGTGCTAGTGTCAGAAGCAGTGAGCGTCTTGCAAAATGAGTGGACGTTACATCTTGTCGGCTCAGGAAGTGCAGGATCTGGGGTCGTTACTTCACTTTGCTGCTCATGAAAAAAATTAGGCATAAAAGAAGTTAGAGATATCGACACAATTATTATTAAAAAAACAGGAAAGAGATTGAATACCACAATCAGTTCAAATATATAATGCAAGCATTAAAAATGCTTGGCTGTGATGGCTGCCTACTATAGTTCAAGAGTTCAAAGAGAGTTCAAAGAATGAAAGAGTACAGAACTAACATTGCTTTCTGGTAACAGAGTTATCTGAGCATAAACTTCATCTGTGTCAGGTTCCGCCTAACATCCAAAGTGGTAGTTGTCATTAGATACGTTACAATGTGCACAGATATGCCAGTTGCTTAGCCAACGATATGGGAAAGACAGGAAAAATATACCGCCACGTGCAATAAACTCACCCGAAGAACAACATTGACAACTTTACAAAGTATTTTTGATGCTAGGTTGAATGAAGGCATTTGTTGCTCCAATCCTTGATTCATCGAGGCTTCCAGCTAAACATATGAGATAAAACAAACTCTGAATTTCTAACATTTTCAGCATCAATATATCAAACAAGAAACTCTCGTTGATATAGTGAAAAGAACATATATGTTACAAGAAATCTATAGAACGTCTTTTAGGAGTCAACAAAAGACACGAATTCCAGTAAGTTAATTATGAAGGCAATTTTAATATCAAGAAGACAAATATTACTCTGAAAATCTAACGAAAGAGTAATTATTGGAAATCTGCTTAAACAATCGCTCGCCAACATATCAGACTATTTAATTAGCATAGACATATTACAAATTAGTTAAAATAACTTGTTTTGAAGTTAAAACAAATAATGTAAACTAATCTAAAACTTGAAGTTTAAATAATGTTTACAAGTTTTTGACAGTATTAACTACTTAGTCGGACTTTCATACCGTTATTCTTTCCAAATATCCATTAGTATCATGATTTTCTTTATAAACTAATACAAAAATCCCAGGCACTTAAGAAAACATAAAGATTGCACACTAAATCAAGTTAGGCTTGGGCTTAACCCCACAAGTTAACTTAAAGATATCAGTTCAATTCATAAATCTTAACATTCTTCCCCTACTGTAACCGTCCAACCCCACCACTAGTAAGTATTGTTCTCTTTGGGCTTGTCCTTTCGGGCTTCCCCTCAATGTTTTTAGAACGCATCGGCTAGGGAGAGGTTTCCACACCCTTATAAAGAATGTTTCGTTCTCCTCTCCAACCGATTGTGGGATCTCACACCTATATAGTTCTAAAAAGCAAACGCGGAGAGTGCATCACAAAATCAGATACCTGTTCCATGTGACCTTGTGGAAAGTAGTATACTCGTTCGTCTTGGCGAGGAAGGGTGACAAGAGGTCCTGCACAGGCATGCCATAATTCCCTATACAATGCATCAGAAGAGGACCCTGAAACTAGAAAAACAAGGTACATGTTCAATAAGGCAACAGAAGGCTGAATAAACGACATGGTAATGGAATGAAAAATTTTAGAAACACCAAACAGTTGTAAAACAAAAATCGTACACAATTCAGTATAGGTACCTTATACTAGCTTAATTACAAATGGAACAAACTTCATAAACAATAAACACAAACCTGAATGGGGTCCTCCTGAGGGAAGATTCGAGACAGCTGAAAAGGACATGATAATATCAGAGAGATACTTATGTTCCAAATCGCCCAAACTCCGACCTGGAAAACCGGTGGTGGATGCGTTAAAAAATTAAATCACAAGTATCCAACAAAATGAGTTGCTATCTATGCAGAGCGCATGGGGAGCTAAAGCTAACCACATTTATAAGTCCTTCGAACATATTTAATACCAACCCAGAACAAGAGAAAACGGTATCTATTAGATAGGGGCGGCCTTATAGATCCATAAATGCCTCAGATACTTAGCTTAGCCGCACCTTACTTTTTGTATCTTAAATGAAGCGCTAAGGCAGCCGCTATTAGAACTTCAACAGCACATCCGATCAGAAGATGAAATATCCACGATTTCAAAGATAAAATTGAAACCCAACAAAGGAACACATCCATTTCATCAAAAAAACAAAGTGGATCGTCCTATGATTCAACAACATAAAAAGACTACCCAATTCAAATAAACAAATCCTGAAAACAAGACAGCCCCAAGGAGTTGGATCCCCATATCCCGGATCCAAGAAATACAACAAGAATCACAACCCCCCACATGAGTTCAACACATTCACCTAACCCAAATAAAAAACCCCAAAAAGAGAACCCCAGAAAGACAATTGAAGCAAAACACCCCCAGGAGCTCGATCCAAGGTACACCCAGTTGGGGAAAAGGGAGAATTAAGAAGTAGAAACATAGAAAAAGAAAAACGAGGAAAATAAGAAAACCCAGAAGTAAAAAAAGAAACAAAAAGAAGCCGGAAATCACAAACCTGAAGATGAGTGAAGCAAACAGCTGGTTTAGTATATTGAGAGGGTTGTAAAGAGGAAGATCAGAAAGTAGGGTTAGAGAAAGAAGAAGAAGAAGAAGGAGGTGGTGGAAGAGGGGGGGAATGGAAGGGGGAAGAAGAAACGATAAGATGGTGTTTGGTCCAAGCCGACAAGGAAATTTCTTTGTTTGTGTGTAAGAGGAGAGAGAGAGAGGGATGGGTGTGTGTGTGTGTGTGTGTGTGTGTGTGTGTGTGTGTGTAGACTTGGAAACTTAGACCACAAAAGAGAAACAAAAAAATAAAATAAAGTTGGAATTGGCATGGGAAATGTAAGGAAGACCAGAGCTGGGCCATTGGGGGGCTTGCTTTATATATTTATTTATAAATTTTTAAATAATAATAATAATTAATTAATTAATTAATTAATTAAAATAAGAAGAACACGGGAGAAGGGGGCGCCCCCAAAGGGATACACTCTCTCCCGTAAACTCCTCTGCCCCAACTCCCTTCTTTTTTTCTTTTTTTCTTTTTTTCTTTTTTTTAATTAATTACCTTTATTTTCTCTCTCTCTCTCTCTATCCATTATGACCCCTAGAAACCATGTATTTATTCTATTTTTAATTCTTCTCAATTTAATCCCTTTTCATATTTATTGTTACTTTTAAACAAAAATTAATTAGTATTTCGAAAATTATTCCAAATCCCTCTTTTTTTTTCTTAATATAATTAATTAAAGTACAAGTCTTTTATTCACTAATATAGCAATTAAAATTTAATTACGCTGAATTCGAAATAAATTTAAATAGAAATATAATTTTTTTATGAGTCTAAAATAATAATTTTAAATTAAACTAATTCTTAAAAAGTAGAGATATGGGGAAGAGATTTTGCCACCTATTTAATATTCATCGCTAACAAAAAAAAAAATTAACCTCTAAACGAGAATTCTCTATTTTTTATTTTATTTTTGAAAGATATATTCGTTTCAAATAAATTTTTTAATGGATAATTTTAATTTTTTTTAGTATAATTTCTAATATTATAATACAATATTTAACCCTTTTAACTAAATTTATTTATTTTCCAAATAAACAAATTACTAAATATATAATATAAATTTATAATAGGTTAACTTCGTATTTTAACAATATATTAGTTTCAATTTTTTTTTTTTAATGAAGAATCGTTGATTTTGTATATAAAGTTATTCTCTTCGATTTTAAAATTTATAATAATAATAAAATTAAAAAATATTTTAATGAGGGCTATTTGAATATATTTATTTTAAAACAAAACAAATTCTGTTGTCGAGTATAAATTTTGAATAAACTCGTTGTGAGCTAGAATTCCAATCCGTCGTTAAGAAAGGGTTAGTCATGAGTTTAAAACATAATTTGATGTAGTTTATTTATTTCCATAGTTAATGAATCAATACGAGGATCCAAGAATCAAGTTGAATCAAGTTATAGAGATGAAGTTATGAAAAAAAAGAAAAAAACTTGAAAATTTGAACTAATTCTCGAACTCTATAAAAATTATTATGAATATATGCAGGCGTCATCGTTAGAATTCGAATGCAAGCTTTCAGATATAGGAGTGTACAAGAGTCAAGCATACAAAATGAGGCGGCATCCATGAGGCTTAAAGCATGGCACATTTAAATTGTGGGATCCACATGTCGCCAATAGAGAAATCGAAGGAAAACGTTGTGAAACGCTAAAGCTCAAGCTCTAAACCAAGAGGCCGCTGACATGGTAGGAACACGCGCTCAGGGCAATCAAATGAAAAACAACGCACCATACATACTATATTCATGTAATATCTTATGGGACACTTAGATGAGTCATTTAATATCTTTTACGTAAACAAGAATATGAGAGAGAAGCACCTAAACAAGAATCTACGACCATTTAGATGAATATCAAAATTTCAACATCGATGTTGTGAATTAGACTTTAACTAAAAGAAATATTATTGTTTAGGTTTAGTTTGTTTACTCGAAAGCGGTAATTACAGTGAGATATTTCTCAACCTCTTTCATTTCATAAAAGTATAGTGGAGGGAACAGATTAAAGACTTTAATCTTTAGGGGTTTTTTTTTTTTTTTTTTTTTTTCTAATTTTAAATAAAATTAAAGC